ATGGAACTGTTTACTGAGCCATTATTTCCTGGAGTTTGAAGTCCAGTAGTAGTACTCTTCTGGAGTTTCTTTTTATAATTTCTTCCGATCGCCCACATGTTTTCAAGATTTTCAGGCATTAGAACTTCTGTTCTTCTCTGGGTTGCTGCCTCGAGTTTACGGGCCCAGTCAGCCGGTTGTGGATGGGGCTCATCTACCGTTGTATCATAAAGTGAAATTCCTTGTACATCTGATGATAGTCTTCTTTGCTTATCAAAATGAGATGTCACCATATCAGTTCCATGATTGTTCAAAGCTGCATTTTTCCTTAAAGAGGGTTCACCAGTTACGGAGTCTGCAGCGACAGAATGGTCATTATCATGATCTTCCATAGTTGACAACTCATCAAGATCTCCCTCCGTTAACCCCTCCTTAATAGCAATTAAAATACTTTCAATCAACTGATTAATATACCTGGAGAAAAATTAACTCGAGTTAATAGATTTTTTTAGTTAATTTTGCAGCATCAGCAGATTTACCGCATGAATGAGCTGCACGAACTTTGAATAAATATATCATATTTAAGCATAATATATGTAACTAATCAATGCATGGGAGGGGAAAACTCTCATACTTCCAATAGCCAATAAAACAGAAATTTCTACTTGGCAAGATAAATGAATGAGCTAAGGTAATTGTTCTTGCCAGTGACACCTAAGACTTGGAGAGAGAGAGAGAGAGAGATTGGCATTTTGAAGATGAAGAAAGTATCACATCATGCAAAAACTTCACAACACGATTAGAAAGACAAATTGAAGACACATGATTCAACCATACACAAACTCCTCAAAAATATGAAGCTGCTTATTAAACAACAGCTGTCTGGTGGGAGAAGTCTTAGCTTCTAGTCAAAGCAATGGATTAAAATTACTTGTATTAGCTTTACAAGGACATGCATGGAGATACAAGGAACATATCTGAGGCATAAATAACAGAGAAGGAAGCTTTGTCCTTAGCATTTGATTTTAACGCAATAAACTAGAATAAACATTCATAAAGAATCTCATTAAACCTTCCAAATGTCACGCGTTTGATAGAAATTCTGGATCACAAGTGAGTTCCACCGAAATCAATTACACATTTAAATTTCAGCAACTATGAGAAAAGGATTGTAAAGAAGAAGAAGGACAAGAAACTCACGCTGGACTTGCTAAGTTCATAACAGGTTGCATAACCAAACATGTTAGAAGCTCCCTAGCCATGCATCGAACCAGGGGACACTGGGATTCCCTCGGTCTAAGAACCGCAGCTATAACACCACCCATGAGACGCTGAAGAAACTGTACAGCAGAACAAGCATTAGAGTCAAATGGAAACAATAAGGAAATACTTGTGAAAAGCGTTTTCATAAGAACACTCCACTCACACCTTGTACTCACACTCAGGAGATATCAAAGCAGGGTGAAGCTCCTTAGAAGCCAGAAGGTGGTGCTTCAACCTTTCATCTCTTTCTTCAGAAGACAAGGTGCCCATAACATCTACGCCTATTGTAGCCTGGACTCGTCGGAAAAGATCTATGTGATCACCTACAAGGTCTACTACATCCCTGAAAACCAACAATCGCGTCATATGATTTCATAATTGAGAGTATGAAATGGATTGGCAGATGCAAAAGGGGTTCTGTAATGAAGAGAGAGGTGATGGAAAGCAAAAACCTTGTCAACAAGTCAACAAGGTTTATCTCTTTGACTCTTCCAGACACTTCACCAAGCGCATCCATAAACATATCATGGATTAGCTTAGGAGCCTCCAGGTCAGAAGTAATGGCAGAATACCAGAGATCTACAACAAAATCCTGCAGAAGCTTGTTGACAAAATCTTCAACTGCTGCCTCTACAACAGGAGAATCGATTTTCCTTTTCCATTTTGGTGGAAGAGGCACGGTAGAAAGGCGAGAATCGTTCACAGATAACTGCTTCTTTTCCAAGTGTGACAAATATGTTACTTGTGAGACTTTCCGAACCTTCCAATGGAAGTCTACCTCATTAAACAATATCCGTAATCCAGAGACCAAAAGTACAGCTATTGGCAAATTCATCCACATTGATTTACTTGTGTCTGCAGTAAGGAAAGCATAAGAACTTAAGAAATATGCTGAAAAGCAATCAGCAGTGCCCTGATCAGAAGAGCAACACATTTGCGTTTTGTATACCAAACAGATATAACAACATATAAGCAGATTCTTCCAAAGTCGTTCCTATCATGGATTCATTCAACACAAGCATCACGAGACAAGTGTCGTAACTGCTTCAAGGACACATGACCGATTCAGTAAGTACGATTAAAGAATGAAATAATAGATATGAAAATCTACCGAGGAAAAGAAAGTACACAATTAATATCATTGGACACCTAGGGCTGAAAGTGGAACCAAGCCACGGGATCCTAGACTAAAGCATGATTCACATAACAGCTAGCTCAAGCAGAAATTTATTAAAGAATTCAATTCAAGGTTGCAAAATGCTAACAAATTTTAACTCAAGCAGAATTTAATCGCAGAACAAAAAAAAGAGACTGGAAAAGTGAAATCAGAATGCTCGGGAATAAAATTGGAAAAGAAGAAACAGATATAATAACTTACGAGTTAAGAAGTAAGAGAAGGCGAATATACAAAGAGCCCACCACACTGTTCGGAGTTTGGCTTCTTCAATTAGATCTTGCAAAGTCTGCATTGGCTTCATTTTGCTCCCAAAATTAGTCGACGAAAAAACGAAACCCCTAAAATTCCCCCAATCTACTTATATATTTCATTCAAACGCAGCTCCCTATCAAAAAAATAATAATAAAAGTTCCCCCTAAATTTCAAACTTAACCATCCAATGTCAAATTGTCAAATTCAATTCATCAGAGTAAGGGAGGAAAAGAATATAAAATCGTCAATTTGTTTCAGCAGAAAGAAGGATTGAAACAAACGGCGCGATGAAGAATAGGGTGAAATTGATCGAGAGCGAATTGATGATTGAATTTCCGGGCGAGAGTTTCCTTCTTATTTCTAATTTTTCCTTCTTTTTTTTTTTCCTGGGTTTCTGGTGAATTCGGCTATTTTGGAAGCGGAGCTGGAGGTGGAGGAGAGAGAAAAAAACGTGGGAAAGAGAGCGCTAATTAGTGAAATGGGCTTTTAACTGGACCGTTGAGTACAAGCTGCGGATACCGACGTCGTATGTTTGGGCAGGCATTGCGTAGTGTTTGTGCTGGCGCATACGTTTGCGCCGTTGTCGGGAGAAGTTGACCAATTTAGCCTTTTGGCTTCCCGTATTGTTTTTGTTTTTCCGTGGATTTATGTCCCTAATCTACCTTTGTCAGCATGCTCATAAAAGCTAATCACCTGGCTATGGTTATTTCATTTTTTTCATAATAAATTTGTATGTGCTAATGATATGTACTTCAGTTTTGAAGCTTGTACAACAAATGCCCCGTTTTCAACTTTTTTTTTTTTTTTTTTTTTTGTCAATACAGTGGGGTATCCGGGATTCACCCCGACTAATCCCCACTGCACCCCGAGACCCCGCCCCCCAAGAGCCTCGAAGCGGTAGTGAGCAAGATTCGACCACACGACCCAGGCCCCAACTCGGGTTGTCCCGAAACCAGCCGATCTATGCCCAGGGGCAAATGCCCCGTTTTCAACTATGCCCCTCTCTTCCAAACCACTTCTTTTTTTTTTTTTTTTACGTAAACAGTTGGTTGCATGTAGAAAAAACTTTACTCACATGAGGTAAATGGTCATATATTACCAAAAAAAGAACAAAAGAAAATTTTTTATTGAGTGACATAAGTTTACTCTAATTTTATCACTTGCAGAATTTGATGGATTTATCACCTCGAGAACCGCCATCTTGAGATGTTTAAGGATTAATGAATTTAAGAGTAAATCGTTTGCATGATATCTATATGCACTTTTATCTGAATGTATAAATTTAGTGATTAGTAACGTTGTTGTAATGTTGATGAAAATGTACAATGTGAATGTTAGGAAACATGCAATTGGTGTTCAAACTCAACGTTGTGGCTAAATTTAATAATAGTAGTATAACCTCCTAAAGGCATATATATGGTACGAGTTTCTAAAATTAGTTACTTATAAGTAGTGTTTTGTATTAGCTTGGTGTTTTGTTACATATCAATCAATCTTTGTAGTTTGTATTACAATCCCAAAGAGCCAATTGGATATTGCTTAATTCTCGCTACTTCCAAATTTATCTTGTCTCAAGTACCACCTATAAAGAAATAAACGTACACTTTCCTTCTTCTCATATGTTCTCTAATATTTGTAAAAGTTTTTACCCTTCCCCGACGCACCCTCTTGCAAAATACATGTAAATGTAGCTACTAATTGGAAAATAACAAGCATCATGAACCTTTGCGCACATTAGATATTCGCATTTCACAACAAATCTTCTATCGTATTTGTATGGCTCTAGTTTCTTCACGCAGGATCGGTCTTAGCTACAATACCATGCATCGAAAAGATTCATATCATATACATGAAAGAAACTCTCTCCCGCGTGAATGGTCCAGCGGCAGCGCCTCTCACCAGTGAACTTTGAGGTCACAAGTTCGAGTCTCCGTTCCGCTGGATTCCTCCGCGCACTTAACGCGTTCGGGCCGGGTTGGGGCGCCGGGTCCGGGCCGCAGGGGATTAATCGGGCCCCGTAAGGATTGACCCGAACACCCCTGTGTCGACAAAAAAATATATATATACATGAAAGAAACTCAAGCTGTTCCGTTCATATATATGAAGCCTCGATGGAACTTGAGTCACATCATAATGATCATATGTAGCCTCAAGCTGTTCGCTTAAAAGACTTCAAGGAGTTTAAAAGACTATTATCAGGCACAAATTTTCATTAAAAAAAAAACAAACCAGTAATATACAACAGTCGTATGTATAATCTTCTATTATAGAAGGACTGACTCTTTTTCAACACATCTCCCTTTTTATTCATTGCACAATTATTTTCCTCTCAAAGCAAATAGCGACGCCGGTCGGTCGTACTTCTAGTATTGTATTGACATATCAAATCTTTATGTAGATGAATATTCTGTTTTCTAATTTCTTAGAAACGCTTAGGTAATATTATTGGGTAATATCAAATCTTTATTTTTCGGGTATAAAAAATAGCAAACGACTGAATTTTTCGGGTAATATTATGTAGAGAGCTGTTTGTTTTTTGGGAACATTCATGTAAGTCGACTGAATCATTCATGACTCGGTCATTACCCAACTTTTAGTTTTGTTTCCCTACCATCCATGCTCCCCGATTTTAGAGCAATGGTCCTGAAATTTGTCTTCCGCTCATGGGTCTTCAATTGCTATTTTGGGAGTAGCAAGGAGCTCCACAGAATTTGGGAGCTAAACTCGGACGCCTTCTCTATCAACGCCTCTAAATGCCTCTTGGAGTCTCCACCATCCCTCTCAGAACCTCGATATAACACCCTCAGTTCTCTTTTGAATGACCAATATTTAGCAGCCTTGGGCCAACCAAGGTGGTTACCATGGCGCATCTTCCAAGAATGAGGGCCTTGGGCTGCTTTTTCTTCATCTCCCTCCTTTCCTTCTCTTCTTTCTCTTCATTTTCCCTTGCACTAACAGATGCTGAGGCAACTTACATTGCTCGCCGGCAATTGCTGACGTTTTCAAAGTTGGATCATCTTTCGGAAGGTGGTATCCTTGACTCGACAAATTTTGATTTTGAGCTTAACTTTACTTTTGAAAATGATAGGCTCAAGAAAGCCTACATCGCCCTCCAAGCATGGAAGAAGGCCACGTATTCTGACCCGCACAATACGACCGGCAACTGGGACGGTCCTGATGTTTGTCAGTATACCGGCGTTTTCTGTGCACCAGCACTTGATGATCCAAATGTGACTGTTGTTGCTGGTATTGACCTCAACCATGCAGACATTGCCGGCCATCTTCCCGTCGAGATCGGTTTGCTAACTGACATCAGTCTTCTCCATCTCAATTCCAACAGGTTCTGTGGAATAATTCCAAAAAGCATCTCTAAACTGACCCTCCTATACGAGCTTGATGTTAGTAACAACCGTTTTGTCGGGCCATTCCCGCATGTGGTTTTGGAGTTACCGAACCTCAAGTACCTTGATATTAGATTCAATGACTTCGAAGGAGCGTTGCCTCCAGCCCTTTTTGACAAGCAGCTCGATGCCATATTCATAAACAACAACAGATTCCACTCCAACCTCCCCGAAAACTTTGGCAATTCCCCAGCTTCAGTGATTGTGGTGGCACAGAACCATTTCAGTGGTTGCCTCCCAAAGAGCATTGGCAAAATGGGAGAAACCTTGGACGAGATCAATTTTGCCCACAATGGTCTCTCTGGTTGCTTGCCGGAAGAAATTACCGAACTCCAAAGTGCAACTGTATTTGACATCAGTGAAAACAAGTTCGTTGGGTCCTTGCCTGTTGGTCTAGAGTACTTGCAGAAGCTTGAAGAGATCAGCATTGCTCATAACATGTTTACGGGAAATGTTCCTGAATCTTTGTGTACCTTGCCAAGCGTAACGAACATCTCTCTTTCTTACAACTATTTCGAGAACGAGGATGTTTCGTGCGTATCCTCTGGTAATTTAACCATAGAGGACGACAGCAATTGCTTGGATAATAAGCCAAGCCAGAAAACAAAGGCGGCTTGTTTACCTGTTACAAGTCACCCCGTTGATTGCGCCAAAGAGGGTTGCAGAAAATCCCCGTCTAGAAATGGTCCAAAGCATCCGGAGAAACCTCACCAGCCAACTCCTACAAAGCCAAGGCCAAGGACTCCAACCAAACCTGCGCCAATTTCCTCTCCTCCCACACCCCAGCCAACACCAAAACCGTCACCATCACCAACAGTTGAGCCACCAAAACAAGCACCATCACCAAAGGCACAACCTCCTAAGGCTCCTGCACCAATACCAACACCCGTACCAGTCGCTAAACCTCCCAAGGTATCAAGCCCTTCACCAGTAAAGCCTGTGGAACCACCAAAGGTTTCTCTTCCGCCAGCACCAACTCCAGAGGCCACTGTCCCTCCACCTATTTCAAAGCCACCAACTCCCATTCAATCTCCACCACCACCTGTTTCAGAACCACCAACTCTTAGCCCAAAACCAACTCCTGTTCAATCTCCACCACCACCTGTTCCAGAACCACCAACTCCTAGCCCAAAGCCAACTCCTGTCCAATCTCCACCACCACCAACCCCTACACCAAAGCCAGCTCCTATTCAATCTCCTCCACCACCAACTCCGGTTCCATCTTCAATCCCACCTGTTTCAAAACCACCAACTCCTAGCCCGAAGCCAACTCCTATCCAATCACCACCACCAATCCCTACTCCTACCCCAGAGCCAACTCCTGTTCAATCTCCACCACCACCTGTTCCAGAACCACCAACCCTAGCCCAAGCCTCCTGCTACACCAAAGAGTTCCATCTCCATCCCACCTCAAACCACCAACCTGCCAACTCCTTCCAATCTCCCTACCACCAACAATCTGTTCCAGAACCACCAACTCCTGTCCAATCTCCACCACCACCAACCCCCACACCAAAGCCAGCTCCTATTCAATCTCCTCCTCCACCACCAACTCCGGTTCCATCTCCATCCCCACCTGTTTCAAAACCACCAACTCCTAGCCCGAAGCCAACTCCTATCCAATCACCACCACCAATCCCTACTCCTACCCCAGAGCCAACTCCTGTTCAATCTCCACCACCACCTGTTCCAGAACCACCAACTCCTGTCCAATCTCCACCACCACCAACCCCTACACCAAAGCCAGCTCCTATTCAATCTCCTCCACCACCAACTCCGGTTCCATCTCCATCCCCACCTGTTTCAAAACCACAACTCCTAGCCCAAAACCAACTCCTATCCAATCACCACAACCAATCCCTACTCCTCCCCCAGAGCCAACTACTGTTCCATCTCCACCCCTACCTGTTTCAAAACCACCAACTCCTAGCCCAAAGCCAACTCCTGTCCAATTACCACCACCAACCCCTACCCCAGAGCCAACTCCTGCTCATTCTTCACCACCAACTCCTGTTCCATCTCCATCCCCACCTGTTTCAAAACCACCAACTCCTATCCAATCTCCACCACCACCAATTCCTAGTCCAAAACCAACTCCTATCCAATCACCACCACTACCAACTCCTACCCCAAAGCCAACTCCTATTCCATCCCCACACCCATTTGTTTCAAAACCACCAACTCCTAGCCCAAAACCAACTCCAATTCAATCTCCACCAACAGTTGTTGTCTCACCACCACCAACTCCAGTTAAATCCGCACCATCACCTGTGCCTGGGCATCCCCTGCCACCGCCACCAGTTGCCTCGCCTCCACCAGTTCCAACTCAATCTCCACTACCACCTGTTCCCGTCCATTCTCCACCACTACCAGTGGCCTCACCCCCACCTCCAGTTCAATCACCACCTCCGCCAGTCCATTCTCCACCACCACCAGTGTTCTCACCTCCTCCACCAGTTTTCTCCCCACCACCACCAGTGTTCTCACCCCCTCCACCAGTTTTCTCCCCACCACCACCTGTCCATTCACCTCCACCACCACCAGTCTTCTCTCCTCCACCTCCAGTTTTCTCACCTCCCCCACCAGTTCACTCTCCACCACCACCCATCTTCTCTCCACCACCACCAGTGCACTCACCACCCCCACCAGCACCTGTTCTATCCCCGCCACCTCCTCCAGTACAATCACCTCCACCACCACGAGCACCAATTCATCCACCTTCTCCACCTCCTGCTCCTGTGGTTTCTCCACCACCCCCAGCTTTTGCGGACGTCGTGCTTCCTCCAATCCTTGGCGCAGCGTATTCATCACCGCCACCACCAATTTACCCTGGCTATTAAAGAGCTGATCACCATCAATTCTATGTACCATGTTTTTTCACTATTAGTAGTTAAGAAAGCACACAAAAGAAATCTATGTAAAACTCCCCGCTCAGTGAGAAAACATACGTTGCCCAATTCAAAATTGTTCTTATTGAAATTCATTACTTCGATTGTATGAATTTTTTTGTTTGTACTGTGAGAGTTCTTTGTCGAACATTGGTAGAATTAGAAATACATAGTTAATATATTTGTAGAGCCCTTTTCTTACATTCGAATATTTTGTGTTTTTTTTTTCATTGAGAAAAATTACTGTCATATTCATGATTGGTCAGATGTAAATTGCCTGGGACGTAAATGTAATGATTAACAAGTTGGTACATAGCCTCAAAAAACCATATTGAATTGAAGAAGCTCCATTGCGGAGCACTTCAAAAGTTGCCGGCTTTTGAAGTGTCTTCGCAGAGTCCATTTATCGAAACACTCATACAAAAAACTGTGAGTTATGAAAGGGAATTGAAGAAGCTCCACGAGCTGCTGTGTCCTAGCTTAGTCAACATTAATACAACTGGTTTGTGTAGCCTATGAAACAGAAAGTAGAGATACAATCACTAAATAGCAATCAGTCATAACCTTGCCATGAGTCCATGACTAATGCTGCTAGTTGGTGCACTTGGATAGCAATCAATATCTCTAGATTGGCTTTGTCCTTACAAATCAAACAAATGAAATAGGAAGAAGAATATATATTAGACATTTTAAACAATTTAAGACTGCTGCAGTGAAAAATATCAAATAAAACTATTTTTTTTTTGGTAAGTAGGATGTTTTAAACCTGAAATATTCTGCTCATAATTCTTTCCATTTTACCATCCAATAAACTCTCTCCCTTCATAAAATAAATTGAGGCAGAAGACATTAAAAATTTATGTATCTAACATTTAGTAGCCAGTGGCTCTTTGAATCTAATATCCTTTATCAAATGTGACGCTGATGAACAATCCAAGAATTTCACTTATGTTACAGCACCCCAGTTTTTATTTCTGTTACATTTTTCGTTTGATAAAACTGAATCTGAATTCTGAAGTCTGAATTCTGAATTCTGAATACTGAAATAATTAATTTGCTGAATTTTAAGCACTGAAAAAAATATATGAATATCTAAATTTTAATACTAAATCTAGTTATACTGTTTGATAAATATTTATAACTGAATGCTTAATAAGTTTAATTTGACAATTTTGCCCTTATATCCTTTCATTCAAAAAAGAAATAGAATCTATGATTTAATTAGTTTAAAATTGTTAGGTATGAAAATGACAATATTTATTTTTAAATCAAATTAATATAAAAGATGAAATATATTATATGAGGAGTATGGAGAAGATGTGAAAGTCATTAAAAAGGGAGAAAAGAGAAATTAAAAATCGTTAGATAGAAAATATTAGGTTGTTTAATTGGATAACAATTTTGAACATAATTAACAAACAATGGTAGATTTGGTAGATAAGATAAGGTAGTTGAAATAATTCTATTGATTCTTATCAGAATTAAGCATTCAGTTAGGATTCTTGTGCTGAAAAAAATACACACAGGTTCAGCACTACTTAACAAGTTCAGCAAATAGATTTTCATTTATCAAACACTCAAAACATTTGAATGTTTGAAAAAATTCAAATTCAATACTTTTTTATGTTATCAAACAGACCCTAAGACTCCTATTCGGTGCTTTTGTGTTCGACAACGAATAGTATTGTAATTCTGTTGTGACATCAGAGGGCACCAACAGGCCAAGCTCCATTTGATCCGCTAGACTCAAGTGGCTACTTCTGAGCTGCCTCCACAATTGGCGGCTGCAAAACAACGAGAAATACAAAGTGATGTGAGTGGATTTAGATAGGAGATTAGGGTTAATATCAGAAACCTCCCCTGAGGTTTCTTCTAATCACATCTAGTACCCCCCATATTTTTGAAATCACACTTAGCACCCCTGGCAGTAGGATGTGACAGGTTGTCCTAATCAAAAGGTGAGAAATTACCCAAAAACGACCAACACCAGGCAAATTTTTAAGCGGGGAAAAACTGGAAAAAAATAATGAATAAGAAAACTTATTGGAAACCAGAAAATAACAAAAATGCCATTGTTTTGGCGCACAATTTGCCTATAAACACCTTACACAGGGTGATTTATGAAGTACAATCAGTTTACAAATATGTACACTATGTTAGATTTTAGTTACTTGATTATGTATATCTATAAAAGGTAGTGTAATGGTACGCATAATTTGGAATGGTTATTTAGCCCTTTGATCAATTTATGCATCTCCCTATAGTAGATGTGTAATTTTGCTTGTATGAGTAGTCGTTGCTTGTTTATGAGTACTTTACAAGGGGTGATGTATGATGTACGATCAGTTTACAAAAATGTACATTATGTTAGATGTTAGTTACTTGACTGTGTATATCTATAAAAGGTAGTGCATGTATACGCATAAATTTCGAATGGTTATTTAGCCCTTTGATCAATTTGTGCATCTCCCTATAGTAGATATGTAATTTTACTTGTATGAGTAGTTCTTGCTTATTTGTGAGTACTTTACACAGGGTGATTTATGAGGTACAATCAGTTTACAAAAATATACATCACGTTAGGTGTTAGTTACTTGACTATGTATACATGTAAAAGGGACCAAATTTGTCCTGATAATCACAAAATATTAGTTAACTTGTGGGAGCTAGATAATTATATGCTCAATTTTGAAGTTGTTACATTGCAGGGTGCTCTAAGGAGAGGAAAGCCTGGTAGAGGCATAGCTAACACGGGATTGGCAGGGGCTGTGCTTTGGGTAACTAAGTTCAATCTGATCATCTGATCATGTACCAAAGTATATATGTTGCACATATTATTAACTTGTTTATCATGTCTTCTGTGATCTAGGATCATGTACAAGGAAATGTGCCAGTGGTTGTTTCAAGTCAGGGGAGTAATCCAAGTTTTCGCCAACAAGATGCAACTGTCAATGTGCAAGTTAATTTGCAGGCTAGCACAAGCACTTATACTAAGAGGGTAAGCATTATAATGTCATACATTGCTGCTGCAAAATTCAGAACTAGTGCACTACTGGAGTAATTTAAAGTTTTGTTACAAAAAAGTTTAAATTTGTTCTTTTTTGATGCAGAGAGGAAGGCCTTCAATGAAAACCAATGCTGCTGTAAACAAGCAAGATATAATTCCCTTTGTACCAAATGCTCAAGCTACTCTAAATGGTGGATCTCAAGCCGAAACTTCTGTTAGCATTAATACTACTGCAATAGTGGCCTCTAACACTATTACCAACAGTTTCTCTATGATGTTTTGAGAGTGCTAAAGGTTCCCCGCAATCCTTGCTTTTGGTATCTGAAGTAGTTTAGGTACTAGTCTTCTTAGCTCCCAGCAATACTGAAGCAATGTTAGCTTTTGTGGACAATTTTTTGATAAGTGGTGCAATGTGCATCTGATTTATATTTCCTGCCACTTATGGTGCTGTTTGACTAATCTTAGAACTACTTGTGTATAGTTTTGTGCATTGCAATCCTCACCATCTAAACAACTAGTTGTAGATGGTGTTTTTGTTCAGAATTGGATTGCAATATAAGGCTTACGTATCATGTTACTAGACTGATCCAATGTAGTATCATGGACTATGTAATTAGTGGAGAAGGGGCAGGGACGGTTACTGCTGTTAAAGGTAGTATAATTACTCGCTGTTGTTCTAATGTTACAACGTGTACAAATGATGTTACACCGTGTGCAAAATGCACACAAGCTTCCGGAGTGCAACCGTTCCGGCCCCAGGTCCGTAATTAGTTATGCATTTCTATATCGCCAAAATCTCTGATAATTAGTTATAAAATTCTTTTTATTACACTTTTACACCCTCAGCTTCTAAATTACTATGATATGCCTATTTATTTCTATTTTTATCTTCTAAAATTCACTAATCATTTTGGGCTTTGGGTAAAAATGGAACAAAAATAAAGTCTCTCTCCTACAATTCATTTTTTACTACCATTTTCAAATAGAGGGGCTGACAAGATACCAAAGTTGTCATTCCAGGGGTGCTAAGTGTGATTTCAAAAACATGGAGGGTGCTAGATGTGATTAGAAGAAACCTCAAGGGAGGTTTCTGATATTAACCCAGGAGATTATTTGAGATAAGTTTTATGAAAAAAAATATAATAATATTTTTTTATATAATATATGTAAAATAAAAATATAATTATGATATAAGCGCTTAAATTTTATGTAAATAATTTACTATCCAAATGCACTTAAAGCATTTTGTAAATCACATTTAGCATTTATAAAAAATAAATCTATACTTCAAACTTAATCATCTTTTGGTAATCACATTTAGTATTTGTCGGAAGTTGGATTCTTCATCTCTAGATATTGGCTTAGTGCTTAGAAATTATATTCGAATTTAAACAAATTAATTTAAGGCTACCAGCCTTCTAGTGAAGGAATGCGCAAAAAAAAAAAAAAAAAAAAGCCTTCTAGAGGAAAAAATTTTCGAGGCCCGGCCGCCAATGTAAACAAACCTATAATTTGGTTACTTAAAATCTAGTAGATGGTGGACGGTTGCATTTCGTAGCTCTTTGAATCTAATATCCTATTAGTATTAATTGTTAATGTCGCTTTCAAGGAAGAAACGTGCGCTGTACGACGTCGTTATTTGTGAGTGGCGTCCCCTTCAAAACTAATAAATCTCACCTTGAATGAGATCCGGTTTAATTATCAGTTCTGAAAAAGTCTGACAAAAAAAAAAGAGATCCGGATTGACGGAAAAAAAAGGTCGTCTCCTTTAATTTTTTTTTTAATAAAAAAATTCATCTAAATTTTGTGTAGAAAGTTTAGAAGGGACGCCTCAAAGGGGAAAAACACACTCGCAAGCGAAAATCCCATCGCATTGCGGCGCTGGGATATCTTCACTGAAATATTGTTGATATTTTTATTTTTTAAAATATATTTTTCTTTTTTGGGGGAGAAATTGATGGCGGGGAAGGAGACCGAGTCCTCGAGCGGAGAGATAAAGCCTGTAGAAGAAATAAACGCAGAAACAGCACCGACTGAGCAGCCCCTACTGCAGAAAGGGAGTGATGACGGCGGCGGTGGAGGAGGAGGAGGAGGATGGGGCGGTTGGGGTTTCTCTCCGTTTTCTTATCTCTCAGATCTTCAAAAGGCCGCTGCTATCGCTGCCGAAGAGATCTCTCGCAATGTATGTACATATTCTGCTTAAATTTTTGTTGGATGTTTAACGGTTGAAATCAAGGCTTCTTGTTTGGTTAACTGATTATATTCCAACTTATGTTGGCGGAATTCGACCTGATCGCAGGAGCTATTCCTAGGGATTGTAACTATCGAATATGAGTAGCCTGCAGTTTGTTAGTCAGTTTGGGGTATGACAAGACAATCGTGTAGAAACGTATAGTGATTGTGTAAATGGAGGTGGTTACTGATATAGGTTTGGTGGATTGCTGCCTTCAATAGCGGATATTAATAGGTGGATTTTGTTCCTATAATCTGTGACTGGATCCCGAGAATTTCCTAAGTATGTTGGTTGGAGCTTGGTAGGTTTAAGCATTGTGATCCCTAAGTGCTCCACACTTTGGTGCGATAAAATTGGACCTTCTTTATTTCTTAAGAACATCACGTTTTCGGCATGTTTAGATTTTATTTTCTTTTATTATTTTTTTAGAATGATGGGTGCTGGAAAGCATTATAGTTTGGGTTTAGCTGCCAAAGAGTGGAATCATAATAATGATCATTCCTGTTCATTCTTTGAGAATTCTGATTGGAGAAAATGTTTCCATTGAGGCTTTTCTGTTCATAATGTGGATGTACCAGAGTTTGGAATGGTACAAAAGTTTTAATCAAGAATTATGTGGTGACTGTTTACCAGTTGGAACTTTGTTTGAGTTGGTTCTGATAGTGTTAGGATTGGTAGTGGCATTCTCGGACCTGCTAGATTGCACCTAAAGGAATGCCTTAAATATTTACAATACTTCATTTAATGTATTATTGGTTGCATGAAGTTCGAAAGACGGCTTGATGAAGTAAAAGATGGTCTGGATTCTTTTTTTGCCAAATGTCTTATGCTACATACCTTCAATGTATTGGTCCATGATTTAATTTTGAGTCATTGATTCCTTCTTCTGGATGCAGGCCGTTGAGGTAGCTAAAACAGCAGCAAAAGGCGTTGCAGAAATCCAGACTGCTGAAGACTCTGAATCTTCCAAGGAGGATGATGCAGAAGCATCTGCGGTTGAAGAGGAAAGTGAAGATGAAAATGAAAAGCGGCGGAAGGCAGCTCTTGAGAAACTAGAAAAAGCAAGTGAAGAATCTTTCCTTGGCCAGGCAAGTGATTATGGAATTTAAGATGTTATTCTGTTGTTCATATAATTGCTTGTAGTGGAGATTGCCTTGCAGTTGAAATCACCATTTAATCGTTGTCGTGTATTGTGCTTGACCTTTAGTCTGAATGAGTAATTTATTGCACCACAGAGATCCTAGTGATCAATTAGATCTTATTCACCTAGATTTCAATTGCTTGTATGCTGGGAGTGGTATTGTAATTCCAATTTTTATATTCATTCAGGGTTTGAAGGTTCTGGACAACAAAATGGAAACTTTTGCATCAGGAGCTTGGCAAGCATTAGGAAATGCATGGAAAGGGAGCTCAACCTTAGTTAAACAGTATGTTCATATCTGCTAAATCTTGCTTCTGATAATATTAATATAGTCTGCAGGGATAAACATTTTTGGTTGTGGGGTTTAAGGGCCAGCCACCAAGGCATCTTGTGCTTCCTTGATCTTCCTGTAGAAGAATATTGGGCATTTGATGTTATATGTATTTTTTTTTCTTAAAATGTTCAGTGAGCATTTTGAGTGTTCTAATTCTTTAAATGTACCATTTAGCCTTTTTTTCTAGTTTAACAGAAGTCTCATTTTTTACCTAGGGCAGCCTACTAGTTAATTCCCATCATGCCTCTATTTTATCAAGATATAGAGTAAGAATGATTTTATATTTTGTTCTAGGGCATGAATCTCACTAATCTAATTGTCTATTCAAAGTATCAACCTTTTATCCTTTTCAGACTTGAGAATTCTGCTACCAACTTTGCTGAATCCATTCATCATGGTGGTTTACCTGGAGCAAATGGCTCAGTTGCACCATCATTACTAGAGGTCTGTACATAGTTTAGTTTCTTTTCTTTATTTTTGATTCCTTTCTAATTGTGATTTTTCTTGCAGAGTGGGAAAGCACTTACTGCAAAGGGAATACAGGTTCTTGAATTTGTTGGCAAAGAGACTATGGATCTTCTGATTGCAGAAACTGGTATGGAAGTTGGGAAAAATTTTAAAGCTGGAGGGAAAACAGAAGAAGATCAGTTATTTGAGGAAGTTACTTTTGATCGATGCTTCTATATTTATGGAGGTCCAGAGCAATTGGAGGTTACAGCTGTTCTTGAAGGACTCGTCTTTATTTCTGCTTTCAATTTAAGAAATCTCTATGACTTTTATCGTTTGTGGTGTCTCAGGAGTTGGAGGCATTGTCCAACCATTATGCGCTATTGTTTAATCGAAGAAAAGCTAAGCTGTCATCTGAACAGAAGTCTGTTTATGATGGAAAGCTTAAACTGGTCCAGCAGATTTTTGACTTGAGTTCTGAAATTGATGGAAGTGATGTTGAGTCTGAAAAAGGAAAGAAGATAGATGCTGGAATTGAGAGCAGTACAGATGAGATAAAGATCCTCCATGATTCTAGTGTCAGCAAGGCTGCTGAATTAGCAGCTGGGTACTATTCTATTGAGTGCTTTTGTATATACTTCACATAATAAATTACGTACCTGTCAGTAACTCAAAAATTGTGTTGCTGCATTTTAGGTTCTTAAAAGACCAATGAAACTGATCATCCATGACTATAAAGCATTAGTTCCTGCAACAAAATACTCAAATTTTCATTTTGCCTTTTGATCTTGCGTTTACCTAGAAACTATAAATTATTCAGATCTTATGTGGCAGTTTGTCTTTAATGTTTTTGTAATGTTGAAGTATGACTTGATTCATTGTATGTTTGGGCTTGTAATTCAAAATTTTTGCTGAACTAACAGTGTACCCTCTTGTGCAAATAGAGATGATTTTTATGACAAATTATCTTCTTTTCATCCTGAATATCTTGCTCAAAAGCTTGCTGCCCATAATATAGGCCAAAAATATCTTAAATGCTTTTTGCTGAAATGTGCTGCAGTTTTGCAAATGCTTTAGCTGGGCTACCTCCAAATGATATAGTTCAGAGGACTGCTGGAAGACTGGATTCTCTTCATTCGGAAGGCGTTCATGTATGCAGAATAATATTGTGATCACAATTTTTCACAAATAATACAGTAAGTTGTTATCTGCAGTTGATGCTGACGATTATTTCTTTGTTTGCACAGAGACTATCAGAAATGTGCTGCTTTGCTGTAACCCAACTTCAGATGCTTGGGAAGGCAATTATTTCTAATGCAAACAAAGTAGAAGACACAGATATTGATGAGGAAATGGTGAGAATCAACTGGCCTGAGGATTTTGTTGATAAAGCTAAAATCATACGGTTTAAGGCACAATCTATGACTGGAAATGTGGAAGCTATTTCAGACTGCTTTATTACAGGTTGGTTTGATTTGTTATCTTTTTAGGTTTTTTAAAAAAAATACATTCTCCTCGTTTTTTGCAAATGGTTTTCCAAGTGTGTTGACTGAGTCTGATACTTGATGTTTCTGTTTCAATTCAACTTGCTGTGCAGGCATGTCAGATGTGGCTGAGGTCTATCTGGCGGCGATAAAAGGAGCTGGTTCTGATTCACCTGAACAGCCTGAACTTCACCCAAAGAATTTAATTCAGGAAAAGGCTAATTTGTTTTCTGAGAACCTTCGCGCTAATTATAGCACAGCCTTGGGTAAAGTTCAGGATGGGCTCCAGTACTTATCCTATCTCGTTCTCTCGACTTCAATTCCTACCGCATAAAGTACTCTTGGGGACACTCTTGGGAAATATGTTCTCTCCGTTGTCCTTGAAAATTACTGTAAATAGTTTCACAGGATTTGGTTCAGCAATTGTTAGATTTGGTCCTCCCTCTGAAAGTTTATGATTTCTGAATCAGATGATGTATGTTTTACATGTAATTTTTTTTCTCTTCTCCATGGAAGTCTATGTTTCCGGCTTCCCGCTATTTTTCTGAGGGAAGAAATAGATGTTGCATGGATTGATGAAATGAAGCCATCACCTTTAGACAATTGCTTTGTCTAAATCATTGCATCATCGGTGACCGATATTGTTTTATTGCGGGGACTTGGTCTTGATTCTCCATTCTCTTCTTGCAATTTCCACAGATTTGTATTATGATGATTATAAATGGTGGCGTGCTCATATTTGGTTAGGTTTTCACAAAGAATGTATATACCTGAATAAGGCACTGCCGAGAGCTTGCATTTTTTTGTTTTCAATGAGCAAATTAACCGGATGTTCACTAAACTTTTAGAATCGTTGAATTTTGACTACTGAATTATTAGAAATTTGTTTTTAACCGTTGAAATTTTAGATTTTAAGCCATATTATTAGATTTAATCATTAACTATACAATTTTCTTCTTTTATCTCATGAATCGTGTTAGTGCTTAAATCTGATATAGTTAATAATTAAATTTGACGGAATGACTTGAAATCAAAATTTTAGATAGTTCAGTAGTCAAAATTAAGTTTTGATGATTTCAAAAACTTAGTGATCATCGAAATAATTTACTCTTTTTTAATTCTAACCAAAACGAAGTGAGATTTAAGAAGTAGAAAAAAAGAAGAAGGGGGATAGATGCTATTTTGACTTCATTGGTTTCCTTTCATGTTGATATTTGAACGTCCGGTGGCAGATGAGTAAAACTTGAGTTTCCTCGTACCGTGAATCGAAGCAGAAGAATTTTGTACTACAAACAAACTGACGAACGTACTTCCAACTCCCACAGTCTGTTTTCTGGTCAAAAATGGCCAACGTACAGTACCTCCAACGTTACTGTTCATATGATCCTTTATAATTGGTGTACAAACTTATTCGATTAGGGCTTGTTCTGGATTGATCGTTTTAGCTAATTATAAATTTTAATTTTAGATAAATAGTTTTTATAATGTTCTCATTTGCTTCTGTGTTTAAATTATAGATTTTTAAATAATAGAAAATGTTAAAGTCTATAATTAACTAAAAAGTAGTAACTTTTGCTCATTTTAATTATTTTCTATAATCACTTGTCTAAATAATGAAGAAGAAGGCCTAAGTTGTTGGTGAATAATGTGTGTGGCCCTAAGCAATCTCTTTGGACAAAGTAATCAGCAAAAATTTGGCTAGAAAATCAATCACCTTTCTAGAATAACAATCTATTATCTATTATATATCTATCAGTATTACTATATTAAAATTATGAGAAGTTTTGGCATTGTTAGTTGTAAGTACTGTTTTATCTTAGTTTTTGTTGTGCCTATTTTACCTCCATCTTTTAATTAGAGTTATTGTATTTTCATTGCGGTAGTAATTAAAAATGTGAACATTTTAAATGATTAAATCTCAATAATAATTGTAATTAAAATGCAAAACTCCCCATTAAAACTATTTAGTGATCCTTACACTTCATCTCCAATTCTTGTGGGCATCAAAATTTCTTATCCGAAACAATTTCTTACTTGAAATAGTGTGACCAATTGTGTTAGCCATAATTTTAAGATTGTAAAAAAAATAATAGTATAAAAAATATATGCTCTAAGAATAAAAGAGAAATATATGAGAAGAAAAGAGTTCATATTCATTTGGAGAATCTTGATATAAATATCACGAGATATATGTATAATTATATGTTTTTTTATCATTATGAAGAAATACTAAAAGAAAAGCAAAAATATAAGAATCCCGCTAATTCTATCAATTGAATATCAATTGACAACTAAATAACCAATCGAAAATAATTAAGTACTATAAATCATTTACCTTCCTTACTTACATTAATAACACTTGGAAAAAAATATAAATAATCCAAATTTAACAATGAACCTTACATTATTCAATTCAAATTCGCCAAAAAAAAAGAAGAGAAAAGGCCAAGTACAAAAATATAAAGTAGCATAATCAAATGTTCATGTGAAGTTGGATAATAGCACGATTCATGTATTTTATTCTTAAATAATTAATACATTCTAATTGTACAATTGCATTTTGTTTGTCTTAGCAAGGAAAAAAATAACATTCTCACACTTGACATGTGTACATGTATTCCCTATTTAACAACACCCTTTGTACAATGGTAAAAAAATAACATTATGATTTAATGGTAAAATATTGTGAGTATACAACAACTTTGGTGAAACACAATCGTATTAAGAACTGTTTATTAAAACTAATCCATAATTTATCAAAAAGCTCAAAATAAATTCAAAAATCAACAGATCAAAGAGTTCATATTTAGATAGTCTTTGTAACAATAATTAGTTAAAGAAATTGAAAATATAAAATATTCTATTATCAGGTAAACAATCAAATTTTACAAAAATATATATATATCTAAGAGATATTATATTTGAAGTAATATAATCACACGCAAAGTACTTGAACTATTACTAGTAAGGAAAAATGTCAAGAAAACATGTCGATCAATCATTAAGTTACACATTTTGCTGAAAAACCATCCTGATGCTAGTAGCTAGTAAGGAAAGTTTAGTTTCAGTCGAAAATATGTAATCCCTGACGAAAGGCTCCAATTACAGGTCTTTGTACGATGTTTGTAAGGTTTCTAATTAGCCAACTCCATCCATATGTTTCCATGCTTGCAAAATGAAACCCAAACACGTTTTACCATATATATCACAAATGTCTAGGTTCGGTGAATCTCAATCATCTGCTACAGCTGCAGCATATAAGGCCATTCAGCATTATCAATCTGACCCGAGTTGTCTCTGCCACTGCTGTAGGAGTGCTGCTAGTTCTTAGACTTTTAGCAGAACAATATCCAAGCCATGGGAGAGGCAGCAGTAGACCCAGCTTTTGTTCAAGACATTGAACACAGGCCTAAACCCACAAGAATTGAAGCTGAAGGCATCCCACTCATTGATCTCTCTGCGTTAAACTCTCCCCATTCTGATGCTGATTTGGCGCGCCTGGTCTCTGAGATAGGTGATGCATCCCAAAAATGGGGTTTTTTCCAAGTTATCAATCATGGGGTTCCATTGGAATGCCGAGAAAAGATCGAACTGGCATCGAGAAAATTCTTTGCTTTACCCAAAGAGGAGAAGTTAAAGGTGGGGAGGGACGAAGCGAATCCTTACGGATACTATGATACCGAGCATACAAAAAATGTTAGAGACTGGAAAGAAGTGTTTGATTTCTCTGTGAAGAATCCTACATTTATTCCAGCTTCTCATGAACCCGATGATCAAGAAGTCAGGGAATTGACTAATCAATGGCCTCAAAATCCTCCGGAGTTGAGGTAATATCTGTTTTTTGCGTCCGACCTTTAGAAACTATATACATCAACCAGATAACTTTAGAAATTATATATTATATACATCAACCAGTATTTTTTTGCCTTATAGGAGAAAAGCCATGAAAGTAGGACCCTCTGTTTTAAGGCAGGAACAAAACCCCTTAACCTTGTTGGTTATGAGAGCCTCTCAGTAGTCAAAACAAGCATATGATTTGCCTCTTTATGAGGACCCTTAACCTAGACTACATCATACTTTGGTTTTTTGTGTGATTGAATAATTAAGTTGCATTTCTTCCAGGGAAGTTTGCGAAGACTATGCTCATGAAGTGGAAAAACTGGCTTTCAAGTTATTGGAGCTAATAGCTCTGAGTTTGGGGTTGCCCAAGAACAGGTTCAATGGCTTCTTTGAGGACGAAACGACCTTTATCAGGCTCAATCACTACCCACCTTGTCCTAGCCCTCATTTGGCTCTCGGGGTTGGTCGACATAAGGATGCTGGGGCCTTGACCATTCTTGCTCAAGATGATGTTGGAGGACTTGAAGTGAAGAGCAAAACTGATGGAGAGTGGATTCTTGTGAAACCAACTCCTAATGCTTATATCATCAATGTTGGTGACATTATCCAGGTATCATCAAAGGGCAAATAAGCCATGAAATCGAAGCCCGATGTAATAATTCAGCTAACAATTTTGTCGGATTGTGTGCAGGTGTGGAGCAATGAGAAATATGAGAGTGTAGAACACAGGGTGAGTGTGAATTCTGAGAAGGAAAGGTTTTCCATTCCGTTCTTCTTCAATCCAGCACACCATACCTGGGTTCAACCCTCGGAGGAACTCATCAATGAGCAGAATCCTCTCAAGTATAAGCCCTATAACTGGGGAAAGTTCTTCACAACCAGAAAGCGCAGTAATTTCAAGAAACTTAATGTTGAAAATTTGCAAATATATCATTTCAAGATTGATAACTAAGAAGCTGCTGTATTGGTGCTTGCTCGTGTTAAAACATGTAATATGCTTTCAGCTTTTCACCTTGCCCGGGAAGGCTACTTATTCTGTATCTGTAAATGAGTGAAGAATAAAATTAGAAGTGCTGAAATAAAGGATCACAGCTCACTTGAGTATCCTACTTTATTTCCAATGATACTTGTATTATATTTCTTGCATTCGCTTACTTTTCTCTTAACATTAAAATTTGACTAGTGAATTGAAGGCTGCTGCGCTTCAACACATTAAGAGGTTCAAATATTTGCTAACAGGATTTAATTAAAGTTTTTAGTGTTGGAAACCGGAAAAATGAGTAATGGGAAAATGCAGCCTAAAATGGCTGTGGAATAGGCAATTGTCACAGAACTGCAGAAAGCTCATTCCCACAAAAACCAAAAGAGAACAACAACAATAACTGCTACTGCAACAACAACAGAGCTCAAACCTGAACGCTCCCGCTATCCGCTTTCTAATGTGCAAAACTGCACAGAGGGGAAAATCAGATTCAACTTAACACCTCGAATAATGTCAATATCCAATTTCAGAATGTGAATCGCACGTTTAAGCACGATCAATTTCAAGACATGAATCCTTAAAGATAAGAAAATAACTTGATAGATCAAGTCAAGCTGGTAAAGCTGGAAACTAATTAACAGACAAATATTTCAAGAATCAAGACAATGGGTTAGTAAAAGTCTTCATATTTTAATTTCTACGAAGGTTCCTTTTCATTTTAAGTGGAACATGTGGCCAAAGTTGATAAACTGCAGGCCCCGCAGACAGAATTCGGTGTCAAAACCTACCATTCAGTTTGGTCATAAGAAATTTAG